CAAGCCTCAGGCCTGTCAAAGATGTGACAGGTCTGGGCTTTCCCCAGCCAGGATTGTGTGCGCGTGTGGTGGCTGGAGGTTATGGCACCTCCTACACACCTTTCACTAGGGAGATCCTGGTCCTGGCATTTCCTGGGGCTGCTGCACTGCTGGCAGTCTCACCAGGCTTCCCAACCCTGGCAGGATGCAGTTTTAGTGGTCATGCCCAGGACCTGGGGCCTCCTCCTTCCCCATAGCCCCTGCCTATACCTCCAAGTTCATCCTGGCACAGGAGCTCAGCAGGGACATGATCTTCCTCTGCTGGCTGGTGATGTAGTGAGTGCCCCATCCAGCTCTGAGAGCAGGGCATTAAATGGTTCAGAAACCAGAAACTAAAAGGAAATAGGTGCGGACGAAGTGAGGAGGGTGGCAGTCACTCCATCTGCACCTGGAGCTTGGGGAACCCCAGCAGTGGAGGTCCACCTTGAGAAACACCAGCTGCTCCACCAAACCAGGATCCAAGGAGGTGCATTGGGGTGCCACTACATCCCCAGCAATGCTGAACACCCTCTCACTTGGAACACTGGTTGGTGGACAGGATAGGTGTTCCTGGGCAACCGTAGCCAGACTGGCCACATCTGGCTGCAGCTTGCCCAGTATGCCAAGCGGTCACACAGCAGCAGCTCCACATCCTTGGTGAGATAGGCAGCCACCAAGGCCTGAACACTACCTGCCTGATGGTGGGGTCGGGTGCCTCTGGACCCCACTATGGAAGCCATGCCCTTGGCCCACATTGGCAGCACCTGTCGTGGAAGAGGAGACTGGCTGGTGAATGATGTTCTGCCTCCCTGCCTCTCTTCACCATCCCCTCCGTCCACTAATCCAGGGTTTTGCTGCCACATATGCTGACACTCCCCTTCACCCTTGGGTCACACATGGTGGCCAGCATGTGGACTGTACTGGAGTGCAAGGGATCAAGCCATTTCCTGATGTGGAATTAGAAAAAGATAAATGCCTTAAACTTTGATTATACGAGTTATAAGATGACATAACCGCTTTGTGGAAAATCGCTGGCTCTGTACAGTAGAACAGATAAGGAAAAGTGTTTGTTCTTTGTAACTCCTCTGCAACTGCTTCGCTCACCATGGCCTTGAAGATAGCAAAAAGTATGTACAACTCTGGTTTCCAGGTGCAAGAAAGGAGTGTTATTTCTCCCTTTGTCTCCCTCATAGTTCTCATCCTGATAACAGCAAAGAAATAATGAGGTAATGTTTGTAGCTGTTTTTCTAGCTAATTCCACTACATGATCATGTGAGTTGTAAGTGACTGATAAGCCTCCTGCTTTTGCTCTTGGGAGGGAACCCCTTCCAAGTGCTTGAGAAATCCATGTCACTTTGGGGTCTCCCCTACAGCTGTAGTTTCTTTTGAATAAAAGCTTCTGCTGACCTGACCCAAAAGTATGCTGCATGTGTTTCCACGACACTGATGCCCTCTTTCAGCCGCCTCACCAGTGCCTGCATGTCTGGTGACAGTGGCTTGCCCCAGCTAGGAACATTGATCCCCTGGAACTTCTCCATTTGGTTCTGAAGTTCCCTCACTACAGGGATCACCTGGCTAAGGAGGGGATTGCCAGCGCTGAGGCTCTTGGTGTCCTCGAGGAAGGGCTTGAGGACCACCAAGATATGGGAGATGGTATCCCACTCAGCTCTGTTAAGCAAAGCCATCTCACGGATGGCCTTCTGTTCCTCCACCAGCCTCTTGAGCACCAAGTATGTGGAATTCCATCGAGTCTCTACATCCTGCATGATTTTGTGCTGTGGGATGCTCAGCTCTGCCTGTTTGTCCCACAGTATCTTGCCCCCCTTGATGCTCTGGTGGAAGTAGGCTGCCACCTTCCTGCATTTGGAAATGGGCTTGCTGGTGGTGCTGGTGCCATCACCAGCAGCCCTATCCCCCTCCAAGGCATCCCTGACAATGAGGTGCAACTTGTGTGCCACACAGCGGATGCCAACACAGTTGACATCAC